AGACTACTACCTCCCAGAGAGATGGATTACCTCCACTGATGGAAAAACCCCTTCCGGCAATGTAAGACGCGTCTACACAGCTGTGCCACTGTAGTGTAGACATACCCTCAGTATTGTTCTAATGCTGTTCCCATTAAAGATGAAGGAGCAGAGTTTAGACTAATGTCGAGTGCTTTAGGAGTAGGGTTACCCACTCTGACAGAAGCTATTCCAGGAGATTTCCCCCCCTCAACATGACGTACTGTCCTTTTCTTAAAGTATCCTATTAAAATTTCCTGGATTGCTTTCAGTAGTGGGAGATCGATGGCGATTCCAGGAGACTCCAGGCCAATCCTGGGGGGTTGGCAACCCTATGTAGGAGCAGAGAGCAGCCAAGCCTGACAGCTTTGCACTATTGCATCGCTGGAAATAAATCTTTCCAATGAAATCCCCACTTATCTCATTGTCTCGTGACAAATATTTTCTCCCCCTAAATTGGCCTGGATGCCCCATACCCACTCCTTGGAGATCTGATTGCTAAGGCTCTGGACTTGGCATTGAAAAAAAATCTTAGCTATGTTTCTCCTGTGACCTTGGGTGAGCCACTTGAACCCAGATCCGCAAAGGTATTTAAGTGCCGGACCCCCACTGATTTCAATGGGAGTTCGGCATGTAAGTACCTTTGAGGATCTGGCCCTTCATTTCCCCTCCTGCCCTTTGTCTCAGACTGTGAGCTCTTTGGGACAGGAATTGTCTCTCCCTATGTGTCTGTGTTGCTATAGTAATTCAAATCGTGATCTGCAACTTGTGAGTTGCAAAGGTCAAAAGCAGCCCTGGTGTTACAAATCAGTCAGCGCCCTGATAGCATGGCTGAGCTGTTGTTTTCTTAGCTGGGGGGCAGATTGTTTACCAGCCCTGCTCCTGAGTCGAAATTTCCTTAGCAAAGGAGCAGCTACAGCTCACTGTTCTTTTTCTTGGTTTTGCTGGAAAGAGAAAGATTTTGATTTTCTCACAATTAGGAGCTCGGCAAACTCTTTACACTGGCGTTGGAGAGGTGGAAAAGCACCACCAGAAAAACACACAGCCTGCTGCAGCATGGACGTTGGAAATCACAATTAGGATCTGAATGCAGCATAACCACAGCCGGCCCATGACCTACTGTCCCGCCCATCATCTGCCATGCCCTCGCTAGGCGTTACTAATGGGAGTCAATGAAATGAAGATGGCTAAACAAAAGGGAGCGAGAAAACAGGGAAATTCCGAATCTTTGCCATCCAAAGCACCTGGAGGCATGTCTGTTTGGACGAAAAACAAGGAGGCATTGCAGATCTTCTAAAACTGTAGCTGTTTTACGCTGGGCACTGCTGCAATTGAGGGCGTCAGAATTTCCACTGTAAAAATCTTTCTGCTGTATATGCCGTGTAACGAAGCCTAAAAGACGATAGAAACAGCCCCCTGAGAATCCTTCCCCAACACAGGGGGCCTCCCCAGCCTGTGTGGAGCCACCACAAGAGTCCTGCACTAGCCTCCGGTGAAGGGAGTGAATTGTGCCGTAGCCAGAGCTCAACGCATTGTGGCTAAGTTCTGCTTCCCAGGGTAGTGGAGTGTAAGTTAGAGCAGCTGCAGGATTGCTCTGACTTACATCAGGACTGGGTAGGCCCAGAACAAGTTGAGTGCAGTTTGGGGATGTATTAGCAGGAGTGTCATAAGCGAAGCAGGAGTAATTCTTCAGCTCTACTCTGCGCTGATTAGGCCTCAACTGGAGTATTGTGTCCAGTTCTGGGCGCCATGTTTCAGGAAACATGGACAAATTGGAGAGAGTCCAGAGAAGAGCAACAAAAGTAATTAAAGGTCTAGAAAACATGACCTGTGCGGGAAAATTGAAAAAATTGGGTTTGTTTAGTCTGGAGAAGAGAAGACTGAGAGGGGACATGAGAACAGTTTTCAAGTACATAAAAGGTTGTTACAAGGAGGGAGGAAAAATTGTTCTCCTTAACCTCTGAGGATGGGACAAGAAGCAATGGGCTTAAATTGCAGCAAGGGCGGTTATGTTGGACATTAGGAAAAACTTCCTGTTGGGGTGGTTAAACACTGGAATAAATTGCCTAGGGAGGTTGTGGAATCTCCGTCATTGGAGATTTTTTAAGAGAATGTTAGAAAAACCCCTGTCAGGGATGGTTCAGATCATTCTTAGTCCTGCCAGGAGTGCAGGGGACTGGACTTGATGACCTCCGGAGGTCCCTCCCAGTCCTGAGTCCATGATTCAAGGCACCTTAACACGCAACCTCCCACATGCTCCTGCCCCAAGGGCAGGAATGGAGTAACTGAGAATCAGGCCCAATATTCTTACATCTAAACATCAGCATAGGAGATGGCTAGTCTGTTACACTCCTTTAACTCTTTCCTTCATGCCCCTGTGTCTCTCCCTCTCCCGTGGATCAGATACACTTCAGGGGTGCAACGAGAACGGGAGGTTGAATGGGGACATCACTAACCCTGACTGTGAGCACCTTGATCCCTCAACGATCTGCTTCTCCCACAGGTCTCTTACCACCACCACCTCCCACGCGGCCCACTATGCTGGCAACATCCTCCTCGAGCTGATCCACAAAGCTACTCGCTTGCCTCCAATCTCAGACCCACTGATTTCACGGTGCTCACAAGAAAATGTCTAATTATGGGCAGGCCGATGGGCAGCCATGAGGAGGCCTAAGGAGAGGAAGGGTGGTCCAGTGGTCAGGGTGTGGCTGACTTGGGAGAGCCGGGTTCGGTTCCACAGGTTTCCTCTGTGACACTTTTAACAGCCACGTCAGACTTTGCTCTAACAGTCTGGTTACCGAACAGCTTCTGTTTGTTTCTGTGCCACCTCCTGGCCCATCAGGGAATTGCAACTCAGTTTGACTACAGGTCATGCTCAAATAAATTGGTTAGTCTCTAAGGTGCCACAAGTACTCCTTTTCTTTTTGCGAATACAGACTAACACGGCTGTTACTCTGAAATCTACAGGTTTAGCGGCCTATGCAAAATGAGGCTGGTGGGTCTCGGTATATCCCCAAAGGGACAGGTGTCCACACGGCACAACCAGCACCCCGGCAGGCGATATCTGCTCCCCTCAGACATACGAACGCTAGTGAGTTTGGGGCCTCATGGAACCTCAGTCCTTGCCCTGCTACAGAATCCCTGTGTGACACTGGGCCAGTCACTTAGTCTCTGTGACTCAACTGCAAAATGTGATTAATAGCCCTACTGCCCACTGATGTTGTGAGGATAAATACAGTAAACATTGTGAGGTGCTCCAATATTGCAGTAAAGGGGGCCATATTGCAGTAGTGCCACGGGGCCAGTCATGGATCAGGTCCCTATTGTGTTAGATGCTGTATAAACACAGAACAGCCTCAAAGAGCTTACAACGTAGTTCACTTTTTGGCAGGTTCGGCAAAGACGCCAAAGACTGAGCAGGCGCTGGCGTCTGAGCGACTCTCTCGATCGTAGTCCTCCGTAGGGAGAGAGGCTTCAGGGGAGGGGGAATTAGGGATGCTTGCCCTGCTTCTGCCCACGTTCTCTGGATAAACAGAGGACTCCAAAGTCACTGAGACAGTCCATCCGGCACCTTTCACCAGTTCTATTCTATAGAGGTCCTTACACCATGCTCATCACTGCAGGGGCGCGCTAAGCAACGTGACTACACATCTGAAACAGTGAAAATACACCAGTAGTGAAATCATGTGAGAAACAACCCCCCACCAGACATAGGATGGGCATGTGCTAAGATTTCAGCCTGGCATTTTCAGTGTCATTTTCCCCTGGAACTAAATGGACAACAGGACGTAAACAAGTTATTTATAAACTGAAATTCACCATCATCTTGATGGTGAGTCAGGTCATGTATCAAAGGTATTTCCATGCATCACGTCGGGTTGAGCACTTCACCCTCTTTAATGTCTGTATCTTCACAACCCCCCTGGGAGGTGCTATTATCCTCAGTACACACATGGGAATGGAAGCAGAGGCAGGCATGCTCCGAGTCCCCTGTAGAGCATAGCTACCAGATCAGGCCCCCCACAAAACACAGCAGAAGGAAGAGCTGCCACTCCATAGCTCAGTGGTTAGAGGGCCGAAGCCTGCATCAGAGAAGGAACTTGAGTGTAGGTCTCTCCCCTCTGAGATGAGTGCCCTACCCAGTAGGCTAAGGGGTTTTTCAGGGTAGGCCTTTCTCCAGCTCTCCTCTTGAAGCTGGTCCACTTTGTAGATATAGAGAAATAAACACGAATTGGGCCACAGTGAGAATGAATGTATAGCTCAGTGACTAGGGGAGTGTGGGAGAGTCGGGCCTCTCTTCAGAGCACTTCTTGGTGCATAACCAAGGCAGTACGCGCTGTGGCATGTGCCTTAGGTGGAATGTGCTTGCTCCAGGCTGGGGTTGATGGGCAATGGAAAGAGCTTGATAAGTTTATGGAGGGGGGTGATCCGAGGAGATTGCCTGCAATGACGCATGGCCCATCCACGACGGCTGTTAATAAGTATCTCCAACGGCCAGAGATGGGACACTAGAGGGGGAAGGCTCTGAGTTACTACAAAAAAATCGTTCCCAGGTGTCTGGCTGGTGGGTCTTGCCCACATGCTCAGGGACTAACTGATCATCACATTTGGGGTCAGGAAGGAATTTTCCCCCAAGTCAGACTGGCAGAGACCATGGAACCTTTTTTGTCTTCCTCTGCAGTGTGGGGCCTGGGTCACTTGCTGGTTTGAACTAGAGTAAATGGTGGATTCTCTGTAACTTGAATTCTCTAAATCAAGTTTTGAGGACTTCAGTGACTCAGCCAGAGGTTATTTATGGACCTACTGCAGGAGCGAGTGGGTGAGGTTCAGTGGCCTGTGAAGTGCAGGGGGTCATAGGCAACAACTTTTCCCGGCGCTGGTGGCTGCTCCCCCCTGCCCCGCCCCCATTCCAACCCTTTCCCCAAAATCCCTGCCCCAACTCCGCCCCCTCTTTGCCCCTACTGCACTCCTTCCCTAAATCCCTGCCCCGGCCCCGCCTCTTCCCAGAGCGTGCCGCGTTCCCGCTCCCTTCCAGTGCTTGCCGCTGCGAAACAGCTGTTTCGCAGCGGCAAGCGCTGGGAGCTGGGGGAGAAGCAGGGACGCGGCACGCTCAGGGGAGGAGGCAGAGACGGACCGGAGGTAAGCTGGGGCGGGGGGTGGGGCAGGGAGCTGCAGGTGGGTGCAGAGCACCCACCAATTTTTCCCCATAGGTGCTCCAGCCCCGGAGCACCCACGAAGTCGGTGCCTATGCACGGGGTCAGACTAGATAAGCATGATGGTCCCTTTTGGCCTTAGAGTCTGTGAGCTGAAAAACCATGATTTTCTGCCACGGCAGGTAATATGGTCCTTCTGATTCCATACTTAGGTCTTTGGGCCAGGGATTGTAATTGTGTTGTCTACAACACTGAGCACTATGGGGACTTAACTGGAACCCCCGGTGCTATCACAATACAAATTATTATCAACAATCATGATTTCCTTCCCAAACTCTGCCATGCAGGTAATGGATGTGCTGGAGCTCAGAGGACGGAGAAGGGAGTGAAGGCGGAGCCCGATGGACAGCCCGACAGTGCAGCCATACGTCGACGTGGACAAGGGGTTTGCCATTGGGTTTGTCATCCTGATGTGCTTCTTCCTGATGGCCATGATTGTGAGGTGCGCCAAGCTGATCGTGGACCCGTACAGCGCCATCCCCACCTCCATGTGGGAGGAGGAGCAAATCAATTGACTGGCAATAAAGAGGAGGGAAATTGCTCATCAAGTCTATGTGTTTGACTCCTTTGCTGTCCCTGTAATCCCTGCCCCTGCAGGGAAAAAGAAGATTCCGTAGTTTAAATTGTGCATTTGACAGAATCTGATGCTAACGATAATGCCTGGTACCCTCCATCTGAGGATCTCAAAGCACGTTTCAATGAACTCAGCTTCATAAAACCTCCGGGAGGTAAGTGAATATACTAAACCCCTTGTGTCAAGTGAGCCACTGGCCAAACCAAAACCTTGAATTTAGGAATCTTGACTCTCTTTGTCTGAAACAGTAGATTCCTTATTGAAGAAGACAGTAGTAGCCATCTGGGCTAGCCGACCCCAACAGCAAGACGGAGTAGGAGACGGTTGCTTATGCCAGGCAACTGTTTCTACAAGGGGCAAGCGAGAGGCTGCAGACTCAGCCACTCTGTTATGCCTGCACACCCACCACCGTGGTATCTGTGCACGATTAGCATAGGTCGCGTGGTGTTTCTCTCCTGTGATTCTGGGCATGTGTAATCACCCCAGCGAGGTCCTCACCAAGGTCTGAACTCCCTCAGCCTCCAGCACAGGCCTCTCCCGTTTGAGATGAAGGGGCAGCAGTAGTAGGCTGTTATCCCTCCGGCGGTCGCACCGCTAGCGCAGGGGCACGTGGCACCCAGCTACGCGCCGCTCAGAGGCTTGTGCCCAAGTAGCCCCCATGACTCCAGCAGGGATTCTGGAAGTGCGGGCCGGGGGCGGACTCCTGGGTTCCATACGCGGCTGGGCCACTGACTCGCCGTGTGATCTCGGGCAAGTCCCCCTGCCCCTTTAAGAGAAGCCTCAGCCCGCTGATGCGGCGCCTCCAACAAGGGTCTCGCAGCTCTCCCAGCGCATGCGCACCGGCCCAAACAGAGCGACGGGTCGCTAGCCCTTTAAGAGAGCCCCCCACCCCACCCCCAGGCGTCATTGGCGCATGCGCAGTATCCGCGCGTGTGCTCTCGTCCCGCTCTCAATCGGAGCTGACTTGAGCTTCGCGGGCTACCGTCGCCGGAAGTGTCGTGAGGTCCCATCCGGTCCGCTCCCAGCGGCGGCTCCTCAAAAACAGTGCACCCCCCCCCCCGGGGAGAGGTGAGGGCTGTAGGATCCGGGGGTGGGAAGGGAAAGATGGGGGGGAGTTCCCTGGAGGCGCGGGGTTGGGGAGCGCGGGGGGCGGTGGGGAGGGTTCTGGGGGGCGATGGGGGAGGTCAGGCGGGGGTTCTGGGGATGCAGGGGCGCGCTGGGGCGGGGCACATGGTCCCTGGAGGCGGGGCGTTGGGGAGCGCGGGGGGCGGTGGGGAGGGTTCTGGGGGGCGATGGGGGAGGTCAGGCGGGGGTTCTGGGGATCCAGGGGCGCGCTGGGGCGGGGCACATGGTCTCTGGAGGCGCGGGGTTGGGGAGCCCGGGGCGGGGATGAGCTGGGGAAGGGGCTTGGGCGGCTCTGGGGAGCCAGGGGCTGATGGGGGAGGCAGGGACCAGGGAGTGGGACTGGGGGAGGGGGGCTGGAGTGGGGGCCATACGGGTGGAGCTGGTTGAGTGGTAGACGCATAAGAGGTGGCTCTGGGAGGCTAAAAGACGGGAGATGGCTTAAGGGAGTCAGTGGAAGGAGGGCTGGGAGCCAGGAGATGGTGGGGGTGGAGCCAGGAGCCCTGGAGAGGAGATGACCTTAGGGAGCCAAGGGGGCTGGAGGTAAGGGTTGAGGGGAGAGCCAGAAGATGATTGCAGGGGGGAGGCCGGAGCCATGGGACCAGGGGATAAGCAGGAGAGTCAGGGAAGTAATGAGAAGGTGGCTGGAGCCAGGAAGTGGCAAAGGAAGTGGGATGGCATAGGGGAAAGACAGGTGTTCTGGGATGGAGGGATGGCTGTGTGGCTGGGGAGCTGGGGGCCGGTATCTAGATGCTGTTGTGATGATCCATGTTCTCTACATGGATGGATGCGTAGGGAGCAGTCTTGGGTTATTTTCATGTACGTAGGCCGGGGGTATTGGATGCCAACTGAAGGGTTATGGTATCTTTTTCTCTTTGGTTAGGCAAGTAGAACTTGTGTTAGCATGGGAGCGAGCCCAGCAGTGTCTCAGATGGCTACGAGGGGGATTGCTGGGGGTTGTTAGGGGAAGGATGGTGAGGTGTAAACTTTGAAAATTCAGAAGGCTTGGAGAATTTGTCCAAACTGAAATTCTAGATGTTTTAGGGCCCCTCAGCCCCCTAATTCATTTACAACCACTTCCAGCAACCCAAAATGTAGATGCGTCAGTTTAAAGGTTCTGTATAAACAAAACAAGATTACCTGGAAAAACTAGCTTTGTGTTCCTGCTTCCTACTCTGTTACTGAGTAACAGCCGTGTTAGTCTGTATTCGCAAAAAGAAAAGGAGTACTTGTGGCACCTTAGAGACTAACCAATTTATTTGAGCATAAGCTTTCGTGAGCTACAGCTCACTTCATTGGATGCATACGATGAAGTGAGCTGTAGCTCACGAAAGCTTATGCTCAAATAAATCGGTTAGTCTCTAAGGTGCTACAAGTACTCCTTTTCTTTTTACTCTGTCACTGGTGTATTGGAAGCAGCATTCTGAATAGTCATATTCTGTGTAGCTTCTTGTTTCGAGAGGAAGGCATGATATTTTAAATTATGTTGAACATTTTATTGATTCCATCTTTACGTTCAGTCAACTCAAGTTAAGCACCAGTTCATGTGCACCTGTTGGGGATAGATCACTTGACGGTTACCTGTTCTGTTCATTCCCTCTGGGGCACCTGGCATTGGCCACAGTTGGAAGACAGGATACTGGGCTAGATGGACCTTTGGTTTGACCCACTATGGCTGCTTTTATGTTCTAATGTTTATATGTTTATGAGGCCTTTTGCTACAGTCAGGAGAGTATAATTGTAAAATACATAGGCTGTGGCTTACAGTGTGTGTGAGGAAAACCTTGAAACCTTACATGTTGTCTCATATTTCTTTATTGCTTTGGTTTTAGCAAAAATGGATTCTCCGGAAGTAACAGAGTTGCAGCAAGAAGTGATGGAAGAGTTGGGGATCTCTATGGAAGAGCTCCAGCAATTCATTGATGAGGAGCTGGAGAAGTTTGAGTGTGTGAAGCAGCGGAAGCAGCAGCTGGAAGAGCTGGAAAAGAGCGTGGAACAGAAAGAAGCAGAAGTGGCATATGTCGACCAGCTCTTCAATGATGCTTCGAGGTGGGCACACTTGTAGTGGCAGCTTTGTGTTGAACAGTGAGTTAGTGGAGGTAGCAAGGAGCATTCTGGAACAGGGAATTGGGTCTCAGGCCTTGTCCGGATCGGTGGGCAGTGATCGATCCAGCAGGGGTTGATTTATTGCGTCTAGTCTCGTATAGACATGATATATCAACTGCTGACCACTCTCCTGTCGACTCTGGTACTCCACCAGAAGGAGGAGTGCAAGCAAAGTCGACGGGAGAGCATCAGCAGTCGACTTACCACAGCAAAGACACCGTGGTAAGTAGATCTAAGTACTTCGACTTTAGCTACGCTATTCACGTAGCTGAAGTTGTGTATCTTAGATCAACCCCGTGCGGTAGTGTAGATGAGCCCTCGGGTTCTATTTCCATCTCTACCACTGACTTTGCAGCGTGATGTGTAGGCAAGTTTTCGGAAGTGTTCACTAACTTTGTATGGTTCGGTATCTGTTTGTGTGTATGTCGTGCGAAGCCACATTCTGTAGTGGCTTTTAGTCCTTCAGGTTAAAGTTTGTCCAACCCCTAATTATGGTTTGTTTACTGAGGTGAAGTCACAGTTCTGCTTAGTGCTAGTGATGGCAGCAACTGCTGAGTAGCCTCTTAATGTAGCAGGTACTGTTGTGCAAAACGTTCTCCTCCTTCTGGGAGGGGTGGGGTACAGCTGTACTCATCTTGGAGCTTTCTCTCTGCTCCTCTTTTCCCCCAATACGCTGCAGAGCCATTGGTAAATGCGAGATACTGGTAAAAGATCTCTACTCCAAGCTGGGCCTTCAGTATCGTGAGAGCAGCTCTGAAGATGAGGACTCAGCTTCCAAGCCGATGGAAGTGATCGAAATCCCAGATGAGGATGACGACGATGTTATGAGTATTGATTCGGGTTGGAAGCGCAGTTCAGTGTTCCATATGACGTTGGGGAGTGGGTTGGTGAAGGGTGGGGGAGATGAAAATGTATCCCTGGAAAGAATAAGAAGGGGAATGAGGAGTTGGTGAAGGAACATCCTCAAGAATATGCATTAGGACTATTGTTCCTCAGGCTCTGGAGACCAGATGGAGACTCCCATGGAGTCTGTGGGAAGTGTAATAAAGAGCGGTTCTTGCGAGGTCAGTGCATTTGTTCCTGGAATTGAAAGGAGTTAAATTGGGAAGCTCTCAAATGACAACCCCCCCTCCCCATTCTCCTGCTGTCTCAGGAGTAGTGCAGATAAGCTGCATCGAGCACTCAACAGCCAGAAGGGCTAGTTAACTCATCCCAAAGCACAGCTTTCTGGTGGGGAAGGAGAAGGATGAAATGGGAGGGGATCCTGGGGAATCCTCTCTCCTCAAAAAATGAGGCAAAATTTGGGTCATGGGCTGAGATCCTGAGCGCACTCAGCTCCCATTGAAATCACTAGGTTTTGTGCATGCTCAAGCTCAGTTATCCTGAGATTCTGTTTATAAGGACTTCCTGTTGGAAGAGGGATGGCTTAATGGTATAAGCCTCAGTTTTGAAATAGCAGGACTTCTTGGAACGACACGTTTTAACCCTAGAAGGATTGGCATGTCCCTCCAGTCATTCTTAGGTATATAAAATGAGTTCCAATAGAGACTGGGAGTGGCTGGGTCATTACACATATTGAATCTATTTCCCCATATTAAGTATCCTCACACCTTCTTGTCAACTGTCTTAATGGGCCATCTTGACTATCACTACAAAAGTTTTTTTTTCTCCTGCTGATAATAGCTCATCTTAATTAGCCTCTACAGTTGGCAT